GGAGAGTAATGCACTGGGGAGCAGCATATGATACGATCGACTGGGTTCGAGTCCGTCGTTTGCCAAACTCACTTTTCTCTGTGGCTCAGTGGTAGAGCATTGCGTTAGCAGCGCAAAAGACTGTGGGTTCGATTCCCAGGGAACACACATACTGGTAAAAAATGTATATATAGCCTGAATGCACTGTAAGTCGCTTTGGGTAAAAGCGTCTGCTGAATGCATAAATTAAATTACATTTTCTTCTTTTTCTCATCAAATATCACATCGGAAAAGTGGAAATTAATTACTTAACGAGTGTTTAATAATAATGTATTAAATTAGGGGTAGGCAGGCTATAGGGAGGGCTTTGTTGTCCCAATAAGGCAGCATCTTAATAATTTCAATAAATAAAATCATTGTTATTAAAATCAATGTTATTATTGGATCCTGTTACTGTACAACAATACTGAGGTGCAAATAGTATCTGCCACTATTTATAAGTATAAATAGCATCTAATTAGCTACTATTTACACTTATTGCAAAGATCTGCTCCTTTTACATAACGTAAATAGAATGGCTATTTTCACTTAGTGTAAATAGCACATATCTAAAATGCTGCTGTTGTCAATTAGTGTAAATAGTAGCTTACATATAACTATTTTCACTGTAAATAGCATCTGGCACGGGTGGCCAAAGTCCGGCCGCAGGCCAAATACAGCCCGTGGATGAATTTCAAACAGCCCGCAGCTTGTCTATTGAAATGTAGGCTATTATATGTGGCCCACCAATCATAATTAACAAATCATGCAGTTTCACAATGTCAACACAAGGTGACAGCACTAAATTTTAGGCCAGATGTATCAGTAAAACGTGAGTGACAACAATTTGATAACTCGTATGCGCTGTCATTTCTTTAGCGCAGCGAAAGTGGAAGAGCGCTACTCGTGTGAAGCGTTCGAGTTTGGAGCAGAGCTCTCCTATACAAACCACAGATGTCACAGTGATTTAAACTAGCCATTCTCAACAACACTGACGTGGAAAACAGGAGAAACACTGTGTGACAACAATGCAGTTATGCAGTAAGAATACTTTTCAATCCACAAATTAATATTTACAATGGATTTACTGTAGTAACACTAAACCTACCTAATTAATACATTATTATTAAATACTCATTAAGCAATTGATTTCCACTTTTCCGATGTGATATTTGATGAGAAAAAGAAGAAAAGCAAGTTTGGTAAAAGATGGACTCGAACCCAGTCGATCGTATCATACGCCGCTCCCCAGTGCATTACTCTCCGACCTGCACCACTACAGACACTGAATGACACTGTGCAACGAGATTAAATGAACATGACACGAGTGTATTTATTCTAGACTTTTTTCTTGAAATTTAATGAGTTTTTCCCCTCGAAATGTAACGATTTTTTTTCACGTAATTTAATGAGTTCATTCTCAACATTTTATCTCGACTTTTTTCTTGCAATATAACGACTTTTTTCACGTAATTTAATGAGTTTATTCTCAACATTTTATATCGACTTTTTTCTCGCAATATAACGACTTTTTTCACGTAATTTAATGAGTTTATTCTCAACATTTTATCTCGACTTTTTTCTCTCAATATAACGATTTTATTCACGTAATTTAATGAGTTTATTCTCAACATTTTATCTCGACTTTTTTCTCGCAATATAACGACTTTTTTCACGTAATTTAATGAGTTTATTCTCAACATTTTATCTCGACTTTTTTCTCGCAATATAACGACTTTTTTCACGTAATTTAATGAGTTTATTCTCAACATTTTATCTCGACTTTTTTCTCGCAATATAACGACTTTTTTCACGTAATTTAATGAGTTTATTCTCAACATTTTATCTCGACTTTTTTCTCGCAATATAACGACTTTTTTCACGTAATTTAATGAGTTTATTCTCAACATTTTATCTAGAAATTTAACGAGTTTTTTCTCGCAATTTAACAACTTTTTTCACGTAATTTAATGAGTTTGTTCTCAACATTTTATCTTGACTTTTTTCTCGCAATATAACAAGTTTTTTCTCGAAACATAACGACTTTATTCTCGAAATTTAATGAGTTTAATCTCAACATTTTATCTCGACTTTTTTCTTGAAATTGAATGACTTTAATCTCGAGATGTTTTTATTATTGCTTGGCCCTAATCCTCTTCCGTATAAAAAAGCTGGATATGAGATATATTACTAAACATGGAAAAGAAAAAAAAATGATGGCCATCTTTATACATTTTATGAATCTCATGATATCTGTGATATCTTCTAGTTATGCCAAGCTCTACAATATTTTATTAGGTAGAAATTATGAGTAAAAGATATCTGTAAAAATCCTTATCCAGTAAATCATGAGCCTTTGAATATTGTTGACACTGGGGGGCCTTGAAGTCAAAAAGGTTGAGAACCACGGGTTTACATACACACCAGAAACTGATCATTACAAGAAAGCTGCTTAAAGCTAAAGCAGCATTCATTTACATGCACATCCAGCTCAGTCAGTAACCAGCTGTCTCTCCACATTATTTATCCAGTCTTTTCCACATGCATACCACACTTAAAAAAAAGATGTAAGAATGTTGTTTATGCATTTACATGACCATAAGCTGCATTTGGATTTACATTATGTTTCATGGAATGCTGCTTTCTGCAAAAAAACCTGGAACAATGTGGTTATTGTTATCCAAAAATTTAAATAATTATTTAATAACAAAAAAAATAAAAAAAAGGTTGTGTTAACTGAAATAAATCTGAAATAAGATCAAATATAAACTTTAAATGAGAAATGCTACAGTGGAACACTGCACTATTTTTAAAAATAGGCTAATTTTCCAACTCCCCTAGAGTTAAACAGTTGAGTTTTATTCGAAAACGGTAAAACTCAACTGTTTAACTCTAGGGGAGTTGGAAAATTAGCCTATTTTCAAAAATAGTGGCATGTTCATTAAAAAGTCTTTTAATATTGATGGTTAAAATTATACAATTTTTATTTTGTGTTACACGACAAAGAAAGTCTTATGGGTTTGGAACGATTTCTCATTTTTGGGTGACGTATTCCTTTCATTTTTAGCTTTAAACGTTGTTCAAGTGCACTCTATAACTAATTGTGCATCAGGATAGCAGACTGATATCGGTTTATAACTCAAGTTTATTAAAAGTGAAAACATAACCACGACTGACCTGCATGACCAGCATGAACAACTATTTTGACAATAAACCAAGCATATACTTTACTATCTGATGTAGATATTAGGGAAATTATCAGACCAGCATTTATACTGAACAACTGACTTCAGGTACAGCTCATTTAGACATTATCATCTGCTGTTGAGTAGAAATTATTACAAAATCTTGGTAATGTTAATAAGCAGGGCAAATAGTCGAGAGCAGAACTACAAATGTCTTCTCAGAGGTCACAGCAACAGAGATTACAGAGGGAAAAAAATACTTCACTGAGCTGCAGTCACATAAACCTCACCTTGACAGCATGCGACGACCGCGTCCACAGGCTTCCTTCAGTGTCTTTGATATTAACTGCAGACCATCAGTTTCAGGACGAGAAAAAATCTACTTACAGCGGCGAGATGCTCCGACTCAGTGAAGTAGTTGTGAAGTCCGCAACAAGGCGGAATCTAATCCACAATAAAAGTCTACAGTAAAAGCTCCTGAACGGATTAACAATTTTTTTTTAATTACCATTCTCTATTCTACTCATTTAAATCAATAAAAAATACAGACACACAAAATTAATTTTATTATTATTTTTTTTTTAAGCATTTTTTAATTCGCTTAAAAATATGTATTTTAAATAGTATTATTTTTAGTACAAAAATAACAAACATTTCAAGTTTGTTCTCACTTCTAACTGGTAAAGAAACTGGTAAAAAAAAAAACACACACACAAAACCTTTCCTATCAGTATTTTTTTTATTTTATTTTTTTTTTTACCTATGATTAACATTTAGTCATGGATTATCCATTCTATTTAATAATGAAAAATAGATTATTAGAAAAAAAATAACTATTATTTTGAAGCGATTTCCAAAGAATGCGATGTATCCGGCGCTTTCACGTTCCACGGTTGTGGCTAGAAGGGATACAGCAAAACCCGGAAGCTAACAATACATTTAATTTTCTACCTATTAGATTGTGTTTTATTAACGTCTACACCTACCCCACCCCTAAACCTACCCCTTGCAATAATGCAAAAATAGTAATTATTGCTGTACAGTGTGATAAAAATTACGCTATATTGATGTGCGCATGCCCAGTAGTTTTTGCTGTATGTTAATCACGTTCCACGTGATGCGATGCAATAAATACTTTCCGTACTTCCGTTGCCACATGGCAAGTAGTACGTGATGTTGACAAAGAATTGTATATAAGTTTGTCTTGTTGGCAAAGTTGAATGCTTTTGCTTTTTTTGGACAATTGTGCGCATATAGCTTCTTCGTTCACTTAATAATGAATAAGAAATGTCATAAGTTAAATGTGGCATGGAGTCGAGGCCTTATGTTTTTACCACTGAAAATTAGCTTTTTAAGCTAAAAATAAACAAAATACAGCGATATATTTATTTGTGTAGATTAAGTCTACAACTCATGTTGTAGATTTGTAAATAGAATTTAGCTTTTTATTAAACCTATTCAGGAAAAGTGTGGAGGACGTTTCTTCGTGCGCAGTTAATATTATAATCTAGTGACAACATTTCAACTATTAAGCGTATATTATAATTTGATAAATAGTGAATAGGTTTTGGAGAATTATACATTTTGAAGACGAGGACAATATAGCTAAATAGCAACCTCTAGCGTTGCTACTCGGTCGAGCTTTATATTATAGAAAGAGTTTGAACAGATCGTGCTGGTCAGATGAAATTATTAAAAACATAGATCCAAAGAATAGATCATAGTTAAACAATGTTCACCAGTTGTGCACCTTCAGCATTATCCTAGAGAAATAAATAGAAGACATTCAAATGAGGATCCATTTGTACAGACATTTATGACATTTTCACAGCAGGCTGAAATAGAGGAATGCACTTACATATACAGAACAAGAGCGCAGCAGGGAGGAAGAGTGCAGCTAATTTAACTACGAATACTACATTAAGATAATGATAATTATGAGCCTTGTCACAAAAGCGCCATTGACAAAAAAATTATACTGTATACATCAATTAGATAAAACATCGGATTACTCAAATTAAGAACGTAGCATTGAGATACAGACACTCATTTAAAGGTATCATTCACAAAGAAATAGACTCACTCTGATAAACCGGACAATGCTACAGTTAACTAAGAGAGCAGAGGCAAAGACTCGCATTGGCTCATATCAAAGATATAGATGCAAACAATGAAAAATTCTGCGGTAACGTGTATGTAAAGTACCATGACCATTGATAGCTTTATGTTTCAATGAGCATCTGTCTAAACCGCAGGAAATTAGTTGTTGTAAAGTTGATAAGGAGTGTATTATTAAGCAGTGTAGTCCATATTATGATTGTAACGTGATATGTCCAGTAGCAGTCTTTGTCTCAGTGCTTTGTGGGCCTTGAGGGATTGTAACGGATGTGGTGGTTGCACAGAGGTGTTTATCCAGCGACACGGTAATTGGCGTGGATCTCTGGCTTGATGTCGCACACCATCTTCAGCAGGTTTGCAAGCACAGCTTCCTTGTTCTGCTGATAACTGCTCTGGATGCGGCTCATCTTATCTATGGTCTCCTTATCCACCTCTACAGCAGAGTTCCCATGGGACCCCAGTGCCTGCAGGATCATGCAATAGGACATTAACTTTAAGTAAAATCCAGAACTAAATACTAATGTACATGTATGTTTCTTCCGATTGCAGTATTATGTTCTTTTTTTCAGATTTGTCATTTGTTTCCCAACAAGGCGTGCGACTAGGTAGAGATTTGTTTGCAGAATCATGGGTAATGTAGTTTTTCACCAGGAATTCAGCTGTTAAACAATTATTTAAAAATGAAATTGAAATAATGTGGACTGATGGCTTCAGCAAAAGCATATTACCATCTATTAACAACCTCGTAGCTCACAGTAGGTCTGTCTTTAAAGGTTTAAAAGTTGTTGTTAAAAATGAATTCCCCTATGGAGAAAATGAATTAGATTTATACTCCAGGAACAAAAGTGTTGCACTATATGGGCATTATTCAAACTGGTAGAAGTTCTGAAATTAAAATAGCAACTGGCAATAACCAGACACTTGGTCCCAATCCCAATTCTACCCCTTAGCCCTTCCCCTTTCCCCTACCCCTCCGTTTCGCGCGTTCACGTGAAGGGGTAGGGGTGTCTTGATTCTCTTTTGGTTGGAGGGGTAGGGGTAGGGGAAGAGGACAAGGGGAAGGGGTAGGCGGAGGGGTAGGGGTATAAAATAGAATTGGGATTGGGCCTTGAAGTCATAACAAAAGCACTCCTCAAAACAGAGTACCAAAATACCCTTTGACAAGATTTCGCTCATGTAAATACAGAAGCACTGCTATGGATACAAATGGATCCTTAAACCAAAAATGAATAAATCTCACCGCAGCCTCCTTTGTCTTGAACTCTTTCTCCCTTTGCAGACGATACTGCTCAATCTCTGCCTGGGCCTCCTCTTTGGCTTGCTTCAGACGACGATTCTTCCCTATTAAAAAAACAAACACAATGCTCATTACTGAAATAATACATACTATAAGTGACACAACTGTATATGTAGAAGAAATGAAAATCAAGTCAAATATTGCTCTGCCAGGGAAATTCCTCTCGTATATGGAAATGAGAGCCAGCAGCAGAAAATCTCTATAAAAACGGGAACTGAGTGAATGTTTAGTGAGTCAATGTCACTGTGACACTTTAGTAAAGGAGATTTTTAGTAAACTTACAGTCATCATTCACGTCACTACAAAGAACAAACATGAAACTTCAACATGTCCCACAAGAAAAACAACAAAAAAGTGATAAATTCCCAAACAAAACTACGAGCGGAAAGCTGACTTCAAATGTTAAAATGTAGTGGGGCAAAGCCTTCAGTTTTACTTGGTGTTTTAAACCTTTAACATCCTCAGTGTAAATGGGCCAAAAAGAATAATTTAGTTACATGTCATGTCACCAACTGGTAAATATTACCCATTATATAGGCTTTTCTTTAGAGCTGTTAGCAAGTCTGTCAGCCGAAAAAAAAGAACACCAAACACTTCATTGCCCAAATTTTGTCGACATTACATATAATATGATCAGGGACATGTCTTTTCAATTCAAATTCATTTCCTCTATTTGTTATTTCAATACATACAGAAAACAAAGGCAGTGACTTGCTGGGCAGTTAGCATGTTAGCTAAGCGCTAGTCTGCAGCGATGACAAGCAAAACGGCAACTTACTTTTACGGGCTTCTGCGACCTTTTCTGCGGCTCGTTTCTCAGCCTGCAGCAGCTGCTGGATGCCCTGAGACTGGCTCGCCATGCTTCAGTACGGGTTGTATTTAAAACACTGCGTATGGAGACGTCTGGATGTCCGTATCTCCCGCAGCGGAGAAGGTGGCGTGATCGTCAGCTGATCGAGCGTCACGCTGGCTGATGACAGTCACGTGACTGGTACCACGTCATCATTTAACGCTTCCATTAGGGGCCGCGGGTCATTCCCACTATTCACGTTCACTTACTGTATGTCCAATTTAGTAAACTCAGTTTTCAAATATTGAAATCATATTATCCATCATTCATAATTTAATTTCATTCACAATTTTTGCCATCAGTTTACTTTAAGTCTAGTAGTACTTTTGACTCTCAAATTATATAAATAGATCAGACAAGCATTTAATCTCACAGATTTTACTTGCAAAACCCCATATGCTACACTTGTTTTCCCAGCCACCAAACTAGACCTTAATTTTAAGCATTGGCAGGAACTGGCTTGTGACTTATTGATAATGTCTTTGCTAGTTAGTAGTTACAGTGATATTGTTAAAAAATAATTCTTCCATATCCATTTTATTTCGCTATCTCTGGGTTCATCAGTTCATCCAAGCTCAGCTCTCAGCTGCCTGGCTGAGCTTGGACGACTGGCTTCTGTTTTACAGGTCCGTCCAGGGTTATTATTCAGAGAAAATTAAAGTTTCTACGTTATATTTAGGAGTAGCTTATCAGTGGTGATGTCAAGGTGATGCTCATATGGCAGAAATGTACAGTAAAAATCATGCAGTTGATAACATGTTTTCAAACAAACAGTGAACACTATTAACCGCAATCATTATATACTAAATCTAAATAAATAAAACGTAATAAAAATACGGAGATATAAGTAATTAATACAAATGACAAAACACAAGAAAATTATTAAAACTACCTCAAAATGAGAACTGAAATTATAAAAATAAACTGACTCAAAATAGTAACAAAAACTACAATATTGTATCAATAATATTAAATTAACACTTGGAATTTGTTTGCAAACAAAGAAAATATATATAAAATTAATTTAAATAGTTGATAATCAATTTTAAAAATAAAACAACAAAATAATATTTTCCATTTTGTTTTGTATTAGAAAATATACATAGCTAGACAGACAGACAGACAGACAGACAGACAGATAGATAGA